CTTTGAGACGCACGCCTCACGCGTGGTCTCCTGTGTCAGGCGGGCGCCTCAGCATTTGTCTCGTGCAGTAAAAGTTGGTCTCCTTGCATTTACTTGTCTTGTCCGTTTCATTTTCCCATTCACCCCAATTAATTCAAATTCAACACTCTTTATTCTCATTCAAATTATATTCTTTCCATTTCCCACCATTGATCCCCATTCAAATTTTCCCCTCCATTTTCCAACACCCACTTATTATAATTTATCACTCTTAACTCTCACTCCACTATAAATACCATTCATCCTTCTTTCTAATTTCACAACATTTCTAACCATCTCTACCATTTCCTCTCCTACACCCATATTTTCCACCTTTTTCCTTCTTCTACCCATATCCATCCATGGCTCCACGAAACAACCAAAGACAAGTTAAGCCCGACCGACCACCACCCGACCTATCCAATATCATTTTCCGCGATAACGACGACGGTCAACAACAACAAAAGTATAAAAAATTCTATACCCGCTCCGTCGTTCCTACAAAATACGTAAGTTCGGAGTGTTTGGAAACCTTAGGAATGACCGATAGCATCGTATTAATGCTGAATAACACCGGTTTAACCAGTCTCTGCACAAACCCATGTCCAACTTATGAACCACTCGTGCTTGAATTTCTTAGTTCCTTCTCTTACACAACACCTGTCGATGATCCCTACACAACCGGAACCGCCAACTTCCGTATGTTCAACCAAGAGTACTCTCTTGATCAAGAAAGAGTCGCCGAACTCTTATCTTTCACTCGCGGCGAGCATGTTCATTACAAGCCTTTCGACGATGACCACGATCTTTCTTGGGATCAAGTCGGCTTCTCCTTATGGAATTATCTAACCGGTCAAACAACGGAAAGTTGGCGCGACCTCTATGCTTCTCAAATACATAACCCTGCATTAAGGTACTTTCACCGCGTTCTTGCTAACACCATCTTTGGTCGGACCAATAATCACAAGGTCAACCAAAATGAGTTGTTCATCATTTTCTGTGCCCTTAATGGTCAGGCTGTCAACGTCGCTCCTTTCATGCTCAGTCACATCCACACATGCGTGAACGCAGCAGGTACTAATCCCTTTGTTTTTGGAGGCATCATCACATCTTTAGCATATGCTTTAGGCCTTTCCGTCGAGCTACTTTCTTTGTTACAATACATGATGCCAGCCAATCTTCTTGATGTCATCTATTGCCGAGATTCCCATATAATCTCTCCAAGACATCATGGCCGATTTACATTGGTGATAAATCGTCGTCCAATTCCTGATATTGTGTTACCTTGTCCGAATCGTATCGACGTCCGCGTCCGTGCAAATTGGCGTTATGCTCTTGATGCACCTGCCGCCCAACAACCAGATAATCCCGCTGCAAATTTCACAGCCATGCAGGCTCATATGCTTCGTCAAGATCAGTTGTTCCATGCCATGCAACAAAACCAAGCTGAGACTTTACGTCTCGTACAAGAAGTACAACGTGACCAACAAGAGATGCGACGCGACCAACAACAATATGCCTTTCGCCATGATCGTAACCTTGAATCTTTGCAAGCTCGCATAGCAGACGCACTTCATCTTAATGATTCTAATTTTGACGTTCCACGAAGACCTCGTACTAGAGGACGAAGAACAAGAAATCATGATTCTCAAAGCAACGAGTGATCGCCTTTCTCTTTTCATCTGATTCTCCTTTGTTTTTATCGCATTGAGGACATTGCTCCTTTTAAGTATAGGGGAGTCAGATCATTTCCTTGTTCATTTCCATTTCCTTTGCTCTCTTTGTAGTATTTTTCCTTTTATTTCTTTTCTTGTATTGCAAAATTTCAATTCAATAAAATACTTATTTATGCAAATTTTAAACTCTTATGCAAAAATTTGTGCTTACTCGAATTCCCCCTATTTCTTGAGCCATAACGAATAAAATAAAACAATTTTAACACGCATTTATAAAACATTATTCAACTAGTATTAAGGTTGCCTATTATAAATAAGAATTCGAGCAACTTAGCAAAATTGCTATCGTCTTAAACACTTCAAAACCCCCGATGTGTTGGATCGATTTAAGTACTTATTATACCAAAACCTTTAAAACTTAGTTTTAGATTAGCCCCGAGTAGTTTATTAAGCAGTCGGCACCGCCATAAACACAAACTACGTGGGGAGCTGATGAATATAAGTGATTGATCAAATATTCTTAAGAAATTGCTTTTATCTGAAGATGCACTTATTAAGTTAGATGGTCCTTACCAGATCATTTAATCCAACAGTTGCAGAAACTATAAATTTAAATGCATAATAATCCATTATAAATTAGTTCAGTGGTCCCTGGTGCTGAACTTGGTAGGGCGAATTACGGTTCGATCCCCCGCAATTTTTAATTGGAAAAAGGGAGTACCATATGATTAAATTACCAGAACTCCTAGCTGGCTTACTAAGATCAAATTCACTAACCAGTTACTCCACTATGTGCGTGTAAGGCAAAGGGCTTAATGTGATTGCACTAGAATGAAAACGGGTGAAATAAAATATAGTATTGGGTTAAGCTATAATGACATGACTTAAATTGGTCTGCTTAAATGGGGTTGTCCAGTGTTCCTACGGTAACTCTGGTGTTTAAGTTCGACTTAAATTCTCTAACGAAAAATTCAACTTGCAACCTGGTACGAAGTGATGTATGTTCTTATATCTGTGTTTAATTGCGCGTCAGTGATTCTCACCTTTTTACTTTTGCTTGAGGACAAGCAACGGTTCAAGTATAGGGGAGTTTGATAACACAATTTTATATAGTATATTTGATTTAATTTTCATAGATAATGTTAGTATTTTTATTTAATTATTTCATTTTATTTCCATATTACGCCGGTATTTTTATTGTTTCAGGTATTTTATTTTAATTAGACAAATTGAGCAAAGTGAAGAAATTGAGAGAGTGGATAGATTAAGTATGCAAGAAATGAAGAAAAGGGGTGTGCAAAGCAATAATGATGGATCAAAAGGTCTATTATCTCCAAACTGGGCCCAAACGAATTCAGACCCACGCAAGCAAGAGAACCCTAAAAGCACATGCAAGAGTGAGACGCACGTCTCAACTCTTCTCCTACAATTGAGGCGCCCGCCTCGGACTTTCCCCTTAGTGGGAGGCGCCCGTCTCAACGTGGTCAATTGAGGACGTGGTCAATTGAGGCGCCCGTCTCAACGTGGGCAAGTTAAAACGAGAAATTGAAGGATAAGTGGTACGAAAATATCTCAAGAGGTGGTTACATTCTACCACTATAAAAGGACATCAGGAAATCAAAATTGGGACCGTTTTTGCTTAGATTTTTTTTCCAGTTTCAGAATTTTTACTTTCATCGCATTACTAGTTTCCATTGTAATTTAATTTCCAGTAGTTATTTTCCAGCCAGCTCCTTTTCCTTTTCGAATACTTAGATTTTATTTCCGTTGAAGAACCGGGATTCTGTACGAATTGATTCAAGTTTCAAGGATTATTTCCAGCATTTATTTAATTCAGGTTCCTTATTTACATCGCTTTAATTAATTATTTGCATGAGAATATTTATTTAGCCATGAATTTATTTATGAATGCTAATTCCTTTAATGTATCCATGTCTGCTTTTATGAGTATGTCTGGCTAAATTATTTAAATATCGGTATGTAACGAGTTAATTTGAATGGATCCGGAATAAACAGGCTTGATTATATTTTATAAAATAAACACTTTTTCTGATTTAGTTATCTAGTTTATTTTGTTAAAAAGGTTTAGAAACCAACAGAGCGAAAGTTTGAGGTTAATAAACCGACTAAGATTAGAAACCAATAGAGCGACAGTTTGAGGTTTAGAATCAGATAGTAGATACTAGGTATTGTTTTTAAAGACTGCGACAGCGTTTTAAAACCAATTAAACTTTATTTATTTTCAAAAAGTAATTTTAAAATCAATGGGATAGCGAAAGCATACATCAGAGTTTAAAATTATAATTTACTTCAATAGAGCGAAAGTTTGAGAATAGATTTTTGAATAAATACTTTTTGCTGAAAAAGATATTATTATCATTTTTGAAAATAAGCCAGTGGAAAGCCGGATTCTTTAAATGTTAACGAAGTACATACCGATATTCGCATTATTATTATTTCAATTAGAATTAAGTTTTATTACCCAAAAATTCCCCTAATCAATTATTCGATAGCTATAGCTTTACACAGTAGTTTAGGTTACGTTAGTTCGATTTATAGTCCCTTAGGTTCGATATCTTTTAAAACTACGCGATAGGGCTGTATACTTGCAGTCTCCCGATTAATTTAGACGATAAAGTCGCGATCAGTTATAGAGGGGTATGTTGAAATAATATATAATCCAAGTCCAAATCTAATTAGGGTTTGTTAGCCTACTTAGTGTACAAATTAGTTGTATATAAATAAACATAGTTTATAATCCAGTTCGTACAATTCAATTCAATAATAGAATCCTTATTTCTTTATTCTCTCTTTCTCCCCTAACTAAAAATATCTCACGCATTATCAATTTATATTTTTATATTCAAATAACATAAATCATATTTTAATATCATGATTTCATATAAAATTATTCTAAACCCAAAAACACTTCAAAAGTAGAGATTTCTCTTTCTTCTATGATCTTTATGTTTGAAATTTGTTTGAACGATATCACTCTTATAGTAAGTAGAATTTCATACTATTATTATCCTTTACTATTGATATAGCAATTGCCATATACTTTAACAAAACATTTTTCATCAACTTCAACCTCCAAAAATAGGAGAGAAAGAGAGAGAGAAAGGCAAACAAGAATCGCTATATATCAATATTTCGATTCATCATTCATATACAAACTGTGAATATGTATTGTACGTGAAAAACTATACACTACAAAAACTGAAAACTAACACTATTGACTATCCTATACGTTGAATGTAACCATTCAAACTTCAAAATGTAAACCAAACCAATGCTCAGTTACGTTCACCTAACCTTACTATTATTAACATAACAATAATAACGATTATTATTACTATAATTGGAAAGTAAATCAAGTCTAGCTCCTTTATTTCTCAACACACATCCAAGTCTCTTCCACCACCCTCTCTTCCTTTTACTACTCACATCCCTCAAACTCGATTCCGATTTTTTCCTCCTCAATAGTCCCTTAACTTCAGGTGGCTTATACATTCTAATCAAAGGCCACTTAATCCCATCGAAAAACGGGTGCCGTTTAATATCCGTTGCACCCCTTGCGCACCCTAGTCTCCTTCTCGGATCCTTCACTAACAACTTCTCTATCAAGTCCCTCGCTTCCATCATTCCCACTTCTTCATTCTCCGCCACATTGAACTTAACATCGGTGTTAGATGCTATATTGCGCAGCGTGCTCTCTTTGTTACACCCCTTAAATGGTGTTGTCCCGTATAACAGCTCGTATATAAAAACACCAAACGCCCACCAATCCACGCCGTTACCGTGGCCGTTACCAGAAACAAGCTCCGGCGCTAAATACTCGTGAGTTCCAAGGCACGAGCGTGAAAACGCCGAAGTTGGTTCTGCTACGAACTCAGCTGTTACTCTCTCCCTTGATTTTGATGTGTTGTAACTGAAACAACTGTAAGTGGGATCCACATGAGGTTTATGATTGGTTGAGGATTTAAATGTAGGTGACACGTCAGCCTTGAAGCAGAGATCGAAATCAGAAAGCATGACGTGGCCGTCTTCACGTAGGAGAACGTTCTCTGGTTTTAAGTCGCGGTAAACCACGCCGAGCGCGTGGAGATACTCGAGCGCGACCAGGATCTCGGAAGCGAAGAAACGCGCTGCGGAAAGTGTAAAGCGGTTTCCCGGTTGTTTGCGGAGGAGAGAGTGAAGGTCTCCGCCGGGGCAGTAGTCGATTAGGAGGCAGGTGTAGTGAGAAACATCAATACGTGCGTAGAGCGTGGTGAGAAAAGGATGGTCCAGCATGTGAAGGATTTCTGCTTCTATTTCCGCGTGAGTGGATTTCTTGAGACTAAGAAGATCTTTATCAACGACTTTGAGAGCGAAATTTGCAGCATCGTAGTCACGGAGACGGCAGAGGAAAACACGGCCGAGGTCGCCGGAGCCGAGGTGGCGGAGGAGCTTTAAGTGATGGAGGTGGAGACGGCCGTCGGAGGAGAGATTTGTTGCGGCCTTTATTGCGGTCCAGTTAGGATCAGAGCTACGGTGGGGGCGGCGTGTGATTGCGGAGGAAATGGTGTCTCCAGCAGCGGCTGAGGTGGTTGAGAGACGGTCGTTGAAGCTGAGAGCGAGGCTGCTTGTGCGGGCTAAGCTGGTGCGAGCACTTGAGGAGGTGAAGGTGCGGTCGGTGGTGGTGCTTGTGAAACTGACGTCGAGGTCGGAGTGCGGTGGGGGGAACAAAAATGTGGGTTCTTCCATCGGTAATTGAGTGATGAATAAATGTGTTGTTGTTATGAGTATGGTGTTGTTTCCGACGTTGGTGTTTGGTTTTGGTTTTTTTTTTTGTATATAAAGGGAAAGGAAGAGAGTGAAGGTGGGTCCGAAAGTTCAATAAGTTGACCTAACTGAATTATTGATAGAGACAGCATACAGATAGATGCGTAGGCTAGGTTGACCATCTCGGGGGTAGTATACGAACAATATTTCAAATTTGTTATTAAAATACTATTATTATCATTATGTTTTTATTTAATGAATCACTAAGTAGTAGAATTATTTAGTACAATAAGATAGAAAATGAACGAGAAAAAAGGGTGAGGATGATGGTCCCATCCCATGTGATATATAAGGTGGGGGCATTATATAAGAGTTTAAGGGTAGGGACCTACATGGGAAGAAAGGGATTGGTGATGCTGTCTGCCACGTGGTTAACATCGGGCCTACATTGTCGTTAAAACTAATTCAATATTCCATTTTTTTCTTTCTTCATTATCTAATAGGAGTCACAAACGGTAGACTAGTCTTAAATTCGTTTAGTTAAAAGTTCAAAAAAAAAAAAAAAGAGAGAGAGAAAACTCGTAAAACAACGATGAATGAAGATTGACATATTAAAAAATAAAGATAAAAAATCTTGACTTATTCTACATTAAAATGTGAACAAAACGAACATATTCAACATACTTCACTGTTTTGTCACCCTATTTTCTAATAAATTATTATTACTTGAGAGTGGGCTATAATACATTGTTCATTATTAATAAATTATGGAGCTCACCTTTCCTTAGGTAGCAATAGTATTAAAGTTTCTGCTAATAATAATGGAGGCTACAGAAAATTATGAACCTCCATCTCTAGTGATAAGAAAGATCCAACTCCTCTTCTTTAATGAGGGTTGAGTTAAATTTAAGAAATATTAATATTTAATTCAAGGAATGGGTGATGTGATGATCCTTTGCCTAACTTGCATGCTCTAGTCAACTCCAATTCATTTAAGGAATCTGATCTCCTTTAAAATTATCGATCAAATATTATAAACTTAACGTATTTAACTATTTATAAAATATTCCAATAATGATATGGTTCATTATGATTTTTATGGCAAAAGATGTTAAACATATATACTCAAATAAATAAATGTATCCACATCGCATTCCATTGTAATATAAAACATCAACGTCATTCATGAAGAGTTTATGTTTGAAAAAAAGAATTATATGGAAAAGAATTCTTGACTTGATTCATAAGTTTTCTGGGGTATTTTTTTTAACAAAGATTTTTCTTAATATCAGTTTGTCATGAGGACGATGAAGTTGTCAAATAACATAAATAAAATGTTGAAAATAAAATTTCACTAGTATTACCTAGTAGAAAAATGATTATTCTAACAAGAGGTTTCACAAAGGACCATAACACCGCACCATTATGAATTTTATGTTTCGCTAGATAGTCGGCATAAACATTTTCTTCTTTAAGAGTATGAAATATTGAAATTCGTCATTTCATAGAGAGGAGTTTTTTAATATTGTGAAGAATCACGAGATAATAATGTCAAATATTAACAGACTCTAATATAAATTTGATAATAGAGTGGAGTCAGAATAACACATCAGATTTTTAATGCGAAAAAAACAATGAAATTTCTCATCCCAACTCATAATGCATGGTTGGCTAAAGAAAAGTTAATTGATGTAGAGATAAACTAAACTATTAAATTTGAGATATTTAATAAAATTGATGGTTGGATTAGAAAATAAATAAAAAATGTTAAACAAATATTTTAAATTAGTATTTTACTTTGTTCGATTAATATTTTGAAGTATATGTGTTGATCTGGAGTGGACTTTCTTCTCCAAGTGATGTTGGTAGTAATCATGAATCTAAAGAGAAACTCTGTAATGATTTTCTAACTTTAGTTCATCGGTGGGGTGTACACTACGCCAAAAAAGACCTACGAAAGTGCTTTTTTTGGCCTTTAAAAGCGTTTTCTAAGGTGGCGCTGCTATAGGTTTTAGCAGCGCTTTTTGTTTAATGAAAAGCGCTTTCATAGGTCTACCTATGACAATGCTTTTTCTAAAAAGCGCTATCTTAAGTACCATTTTGGCAGCGCTTTTTCTAAAAAGCGCTCTCTTAAGTAGGCTTTTGGCAGCGCTTTTTTATGAAGAAGCGCTTTCATTGGTGGCGCTTTTTTCTGGAAAAGAGCTTTCATAGGTTGTCTTTTAGCAGCGCTTTTTCCTGGAAAAGCGCTGTCATATGTTTACCTTAGACAGCGCTTTATGTGAAAAAGCGTTGTCATAGGTCTACCTATGAAAGCGTTTTTCTCCAAAAAGCGCTTTCATAGGGTGTTTTTTTTTAGAAGTATAATTTATATAATTCATATACCTGCATTGTTTGCAGCATATTATTTATATAAACCAGTTGCCATAACCTGTAATTCATAAACAGCGGTAATGCATTGTAATCCAAAATATATATACACCATTTTTGTACCTCAAATTATATATAAACCATTGTTATCAGCATTGTAACTCAAAATCAGTCTTACAAAATCAACCCTAACAACAACTAAATCAGTCCTTATATGATTCTCTGCTCAATAAAATATTGACACAACGCCTCTTTGGTTTCTTCCAACTGAAGTTTCGTGTAATATGCACATTTGTACTCATCGAAGTACTACATAACAAAACATAATATGCATGATTTAGTTAAAAGTAAAAAATTATATGAAATATCCGAGAAATAATAAAACAAATCATAAGTTATAAATCTATACCGTGACTGAAATCTCTATTTGATTCAGTTGAATGATTTCTTTGATAAATCGCATAACGAAGTATCTGCAATCTATACCGTTTTGTTGTTGAGGACACTACATAGAAAAACAAATAAGAATATATAGTTGTATTGTTTTATCAAATAGCGTAAATATTATAAGCAAAATAGTGGAAACTAATATACCTGCACTTTGATCCAATTAATGTTGTTTGATTTAGACCGTCGTACCCGAGCTTCTCTTTGACACTGGAATACTTGTATCGCTCTAATAAAATAAAAATATATATTTAGAACAATGTCACAGAAATAATTAAATATATAAATACACACAAATATTTAGAATAATCTCACTTACGTATCAATCATTAACTTCATATCCGGATAATTTGTCCAATCACCGTCAACCGAATTCAGATAATAGACCACTTTTTTTATAGGATCGATAGCAACCAACAACCAGTGACGTCTATAAATTAAAACAACAGTTTAGAAGAAATTTTTCTACGCAAAAATTACAAATATTAAAATGAACTTAGAATGAAAATCTAACCATGTAGGAATAGTATTATACGCCCAAAGATATAAGCTTTCTGTACTGCCAGTTGCCATGAATCTTTCAACTAAGTGCTCTCTTACTGATTCTGGTTCCCTACCAATTGTCGCTCCGCTGACACGGGAGGAAGACACGAAATGGAATCTGTTTGACAATTGATTCCCGCGCATCAATTTGTCATATAACAGCCTTAAATAAAAACATAATTAATATTAGACTATATTCATTGAAATGTTTAAAAAAGATTTCAGCTAATTACATAATATAAAGATGGGGTTACCAGATGTATGTGTGCATAATACTGACGCCCAATTCTTTATGACAGAAAATCTGTTCCACGTCCTCATGTCCAATTATTTCGGTGCAAGAAAAACCAAAGATACCTTGATCCATATCCATTTGACGAATACCACCATCCATCAAATCTGTTGTTCCCACTATTGTTTCAAGACACTGCCGGTATCGAGGGAAAAATCTAGTAGGCACCCTTTTCTTGGGTGGTACGCCAACGATTTTCTGGCTCACTTGTTGTGACCCTTGAAAAGGTACCTAAAAATCATATAAATTCAGTTACATTATAAAATTATGCAGTTTTTTATTCGGATCATATAATTAACACTTTAAACGTATCTCTTTTGGTGATACGTCAGACTCGTCGTGCCGCAAAATCCCTTTACCCTTAGATGCGGGTGTTGTAGGAGTCTATAATTACCGTGGAAATAACTGAGGTCAAAACTGACAGTTGAAGACTTAAAGATTCATAATTGTTTTCAACATACCTGATCATCTATGAAAATGAGGTCCGATGGCCATGCAACAAAAGATCCTATTGCATCTCGCAGCAATGTGGTCTCAGCAACAATGTCAGGTACCGGCAGCAACGCATCCATATCTAAAGCAATGTCAATCGATACTTTCATGTGTCCATCCGGAAGCGGTCTATTATGAAGTAAATCTCCCGAAGTGTTATGGACTTTTCCCTTGCCAACTAGTCGATAAGTCGACGACGATAGGTATAGCTGGCAAGATGAAATGCCCTAAACCAATAATAACCGTTAGAAGTGACTAAAAATATTCTATAATAATAACGGATATATATTGAAAATTACCTCGGGAAATTTATGCTGACAGTTGATACTAGCTTTGTCACTAGTTTCTTTCAATTGTGAACTGCTCTTTTCCGCCATATATCTCTCTTTATCCTTCTGCAATTCACGGACTTGAGCTTGTAAATCCTGCAATGTTTGCATCACTTCTGCATTGCTAGGATTTCTTCTCCTTGGATGCTTATACAAAGAGGTTGGAGTCACACCATGACCTTTACCCCTCACCCGACCCGGATACTTAGCAATATTTAGTGCTCGACTAAGTACGCTCCTGGTATCCTGATGATCCTCACCTGGGGATACTGATTGGGACAAGGTCTCCTGTAATTCATTTACATATAAAAAATTATTAGTGGAGATAAAAAATTATTTAAATATTAATAAACATTAATTGATTTAACTAAAGACACAATCTTATACTTACACATTCATCATACACATGTTGAATATCGGGATTAACAGCTTGATCCTTGCCCACACGGGCTTCCTTCCACAACAAATGTGCCGGTAGTGATGTTGCGTCACTTTTCGTCTCTACTAACTAC